CCGGGGGTTTGGGCGGCATGGCGAGGCACTCGGGGGGAGGGGGGCGGGGGTTTCGGCGGTGCTCCGGGGGTTTGGGCGGCCCGGCGCGGCGCTGGGGGGGGGGGTGTTATGGCGGGGCGCCGCTCTTCTTTTTTGCCTGGGGCGGCAAAAAAGTTAGAGCTGGCATTGCTTCCCTATACATATTTGAGGGGGGAGTGGGGCTGGTAAGTCTGGAGGCTGCAGTAGTAGTCATGGAATGGCTTTGCAGCTGTTCTACAGCCTGAGGGGGAGGATTCCTTCCCCTCTCTCTTGGATTTCCCTTCTGTTTTCTGGGGCTGTGCACTCATACAAGATTTGACCCTAAGTGACTGCAGTCAACAGCCATGTAGAGAGTATTTATATTTTTAAAGTGACCGCTTTAAAAGTTAAGTATCTTCTAACCAAGCTGGTGCATTAATAAAATAGTCCTGTTCCTAAAATGCTTTGGGAATTTTAGATAAAACTGAAAATATCCATCAGTATAGGTGGAAAAATCCTCCATAATAATATGAAATTAATATAATCTCTAAATGCTGGTGATGTCCTAAACCACTCAAATGCTGCTGTCTAAGTGATGTTAGAGGTGACATCACTTGGAAAAATATAAGCTACAGTTTAGCGGGCATTAAAGACCCCCCAGTCCTGATTATTCTTTGCACCAAGGCTTCTTAGAACGAATTACACATGCACTTGCTTTAAGGACCCTTCACACACTCAGAGTGGTGTAATTGGGCCTTAGTGTAAATGAGCATCTGGTTCAATATGTATATTTCTACAAGTCATTAGCATGTTGAATTTTTGTCTGCGTAATTCATCAGTAAATACTTACTAAATAGATTTTTGGATTAGGCAAGTCCATAGCATTCAATGTCCATCTTGCCTTGCAGTAAAGTTAATAGAAAACAGAGACATTCATCGCAATATAAATGTTTTGCTACATTATGAGCACTCATAAGTCCAAAGAATGAATCTGATTCATTATTCCATTACTCCAATTTTACTCCAGTGTGACTTGATTGTCAATGATAGAGTTACACTTTTTAAAAAACAGGAGTGAAATAGTTAAGGATCACCTGAGTATACTGCATTATGGTTATAGATACGCTACAGTATCTAATTTCTCTAGTTTATCTTCTTACAGCTTTCACAACTTATAGTCAATGCAGGAGGAGTTGCTGCTGTGATTGATTGTATTGGCAACTGCAAAGGAAATGTCAGGCTGCCTGGCATCATGATGCTTGGCTACGTAGCAGCTCATTCTGAGAACCTGGCAATGGCAGTGATCATCTCCAAGGTTAGCTCCTGCTTCATTGTCTTCCTATAGCCATTACAGTGAGTTTCTGAGAAGAAGAGGTAGAAGAATATAGTCCCACAGATGATTGGATGGAGTGGTTTACTGATTTGTTTAGTAACGCACATCATAGAAAAAGTACCAGCATATTTTTCTGTTTTGTATGTCCCTTAGGTTCTGATCCTGCAAATACTTAATCACATGTTTAACTTTCAGCACTTGAGTAGCTCCATTGAAATCAGTGAAATTACTCTAGCGCTTAAAGTTAAGTACATGTATAAGTGTAGGATCAGGGCCCTGGTTTTCAGTCATGTACTTACATATAACTATTAAGGAAAGAGTAAAACTACACCAGTATTACATTTCACACTTGGCAGTAACAGTGCACTTAAATTGCTGATAAAACATATCCATTTTTTTCAATAATGCGACTAGGCAGTTGTATATAATTTTTAGGTTAAATTATTCAGTATAAGAATTATAATTTATGTGTGCCTTTATTAAATAAACAACTTAACCATATTACAGTTTTTAACAACATGTATAGTTTTGATACAAGATGACATACCTAGTGATATGAGTGCATCTTCTGTAATATTACTCAAAGTTCAAAATGATGGGACAGTCTGGAAAAGTAAGGTCCTTAATGAGTTGCTGCTTTTGTGCTATGTTGGTATGGATTGGTTTACTAGAAAAAGCATCTGTTGAAATGTAAAATTATGCTGAGTTGCATTTGCACACACAAAGAAAAGAAGAGGTGTGACTTTCTATAGCCTGTTTCTTGTTAAAACAAATATTTGTGGCCACATTATAATCCTTTTTGAAACAAGAATTTGTGATGGCACACTATGACTGCACTGCTACTACTATAATAAATTTACAACAATAATTATCATGCTTACACACAATCTTGGTCCCTGAAATGCATTATATAGTTTGATTCAGCTATGCATATGATACTTTGCATTTAATAAGTTTGATGTTTGTAGATTTTTCAGTTTTAAATGAATATGTTTGATAGTAATGTAGGGGGGAGGTGAATTACTGTACCATATATGCAATAGGCAATAAGAGGGTTTAATATTTGTTAAATTTAATTGTATCTAACATAACATTTTGATGTGTGTTAAGGCCAATGGATAGTTGAATAAATATTATGCATTATCAAAATACATAATTCTAATTATAAACTGGGCATGACTAAGGGAGCAATCTAACTGATGAAGGTCCCAGCTCATGTGAGTATGGGTCAACATCTCCCTATGTAATAACATATTAGTCATTCTTAGATTAATTGTGTCCCATGAAAAAGGAAAAAATGATAATATGAAAGATTCCTATTAATAAAAAAAAATATAAAGTGAATACAGAAATACTAGAGACCTTGGAATATCAGTGTCTGACAAAAATGGTGGCTTTGCTTTCAGCTGCAGCCTGAATTGTGGCATCTGCTCTTTGAAACCTTTGGAGTAGCTGACGTGTTCACTAAAACTGCCCTCAAACTCAGAGAAACTGGCATATTTAATATTCTCTCTCCAGTTAGACTTGTATAGATTCTTTTTTTTTTAAATTCTTTCTAGCCACATAGTTGACTTGAAAAATGACAGCTCCATCCTATGTTCGTCTGCAATGTATTCAAGCCAGAAAAATAGAAATAGAAGAAACAAGCTTTTTGTAATAATCTGTTCCAGTGTCTAGTCCTGCCCTAGATTCATAATGTTTGTGTTTTTAATGAATACTACAGGGGGTGCCACAGCTGTCTATCTGCTTGTCAGAGGAACGAGAAGATCATATTAAGGCAGCGGCTGCTTGGGCCTTGGGACAGATTGGAAGACATACTCCAGAGCATGCACGTGCTGTTGCTGTAACAAATGTGTTACCAGTGCTGCTTTCCCTGTATATGGAAACAGAAAGCTCAGAAGATCTTCAAGTAAAAGTAGGTGCAGTGTCTGAAATACTATGCATTGCTGTTAATCACCAGATTTAAGTCCTTCAAAATTAGAGTGTTAATTGTTATTTAATATTATCATGCTACCAATCAGTGAGTGATGTCTAATGGTGTATTTTTATTTTTTGTACACATAAGCCTTTCTTACAATTTTATAAGTGCTGTCAGTATGAAATGTGTTTTTGCTGGCTTAAAAAAAACACTCTTGGGTAAAGGATAGTCCATATTTAGGGCCATCATTACACATTTACAAGGGGGCCAGTTACTGTCTGCCTATTAGCCTTTGTTAAAATAGATTTTTGTGTGACATTACAGGAAATGATGTGATCATATAATATATGATATATATCTTATCATATCATGTCATGCCATTTTGAAGGCAACTAGAGAATGATCAGCCCCAAATCTGTTGAGTAAGAAGACCCCACCTTTATATAGCCATTTTCAGAGTTTTAAGGCCAGTGGTCTCTCTCTCTCTCTCTCTCTCTCTCTCACTCACACCCCCCCCCCCCCAACATTCTCTGAACCTGCAGTCCTACACAATTGGGTCATTACTTTCTCTATTTTCTCTGCTTTAGGACCCAAACACTGATATACACTCACTTCCCTTTGCAGAGGTGGCAGTGCAAGGTGCAGGTCCAGACTGGCAGGGTCTCCTAATAAACTACTGCTCAAATACAATCTTTTAAAAACATATTTTTAATTTAACTTTTTTATTGTATTACAGTACTTTAATTTATATTTACTTAGGGGGCCTGCTCCCTTTCCCATTGTATTCCGAGGAAAATTGCCATTACTTTGACTAGATAACTTAATAGGAATATGGTGCACTGAAGGTTTGTTTTGCAGTTTGATAAGATGAGCCGAAAATTGATTCTTTATTAAATTAATTGATGGATTGTGTAGTTTTGATTCAGAAAATTGCCCTTCTGAAATAATTCTGATCAAAAAAGCAAATTGACCAGACTTCAAACATCAGGAATGTGGAACATAAATTAACATTGTTGTTTCATTGATGTCTTACTATAGACATTTTGTTTTGCATTTCAATAGACTAAAAAGGCCCTAAAGAACATCTTGCAGAAATGCACATATCTGCCAGCACTTGAACCCTTGCTGCATGATGCGCCTCCCAATATTCTGAAACACATAGTTGGGCAGTTCAGTAAGGTAAGAAAAGGCTCTTCTTGGTGAATGATAGATTAACCATCTGTTACCTAAACAGCATGTTTGCAGTGTTGTTGTAGCTTTGTTGGTCCCAGGATATTAGAGAGACAAGGGGGTTGGGTGAGGTAATATCTTTTACTACCACCTTCTCTTGGAGAAAGAGACAAGCTTTTGAACTACACAGAGCTCTGTCTCTTTCACCAACGGAAGTTGGTCCAATAAAATATATTATCTGTCACCAGCTGAAGCCGTGGCTGGGGCTGGAGCCGGGGCTATGCTCCCCACATAGCCCTGTGGCTTCCACCGGTGGCCACTGCTGGGGCTGTGCGCCTCTGCCCCGCGGTGAGGGCTGCAGCGGGGGCTGTCACCTCTGCTGCGGCTTGTACGGTTATTTTTCGTAAAAGTCATGGGTTCGTGAATTTTTGTTTGTTGCTGGTGACCTGTCTGTGACTACTAAAAATAACAGTCAGAAAATCTTAGCCTTACTCATAAGCAAGACACTGTCTTCCTCCTCTGCCAAAGTAGAAAATTAGCCCTTATGCAGAGAACCCAACTAGGTCAGTGCATCGCTTAAGTCCCACTGAAGCCATGTTTTAGGTCTAGTGCAAGCTCTCTGCACAGGGGTGAATTGAATCAATTATTAGAAAAATTGTTTTAAAAGTAAAAGCTTCTCCAGTTCTGTGTTTTATCTTTTGACTCCAGTCCTGGACTAGGTGGAAAAATCCAAACTCTTCTTCCAAACGCTTTAAAATGTGCAATTATGTCTGTTACTTAAATAACAGATTTGAGTAAAATATAAAGGTAAAAATTAATGTAATTAAAATATTTTATTTAAACTGTGAATAACTGTCATGGATTTTAGGTATTTTGAGTTTCTGCCATGGTGACCAGCTGTTAGGGAATCCCACTCCACTATAGCCCTTTCTTCTTTCAAATACAATACTGCATAATCCTTTAGTAGAGAGTGCCAGATTGTCCTGCTCTGGTGTTCTTTGCTGGAAATGCCAAAATAAAATTCTCTGATATTATCTAGTACTACATTTCACAGGCTTGGAAATGCTGCTGTTTATACATCTGGCTAAATCAATAAGGATTGCACATTTGTTCAAAATACCAGTGCCATGTTGCTTATGTGTGTTGACCACTGGAGCTGGCCAGGAAACCATTTTCCTATCCTGCAAAAAATTTTGAGGTATTGAAAAGTTTTCCCCATTCAACATTGGGATGAAAAGTCAATCTCAAAAATGTTTGTGAACTGAAAATCTGAAAAAATTCTTGGTTCAGCTCATTTGAAACATTACATTTTGATTTTGACCATTTGAAATGTTTATATTCTTCTTCGAGTGCTGTCCCTATGGGTGCTCCACTTCAGGTGTTGGTGCATCCTGGTGCTGTTGATCAGAGATTTTCTATAGCAGTGTTTTGTGTAGGATGCACGTGTGCAGTAGCTGTCTCGCTGCACCATTGGAGTCTCATCTAGCATGCGCATGACCTGACCCCTTCAGTTCCTTCTCAACCATCCTCGGCTGAAGACGGAACTTGGGGCAGTGTGTCAGCTTCTTCCCCTGTAGGTAGAGAAAAAAGAAAAATATTAGCTAGATACCTTAGATAAGTTCGTTCTAATTCATTGTTAACTTAGCTAGTAGTTTGTTTAAAAAGAAAAGTTTATTTTCCCATTCCCTGTTCCTTTCGGAGCACTGTCTGGAACATGCCTGGTTTCCCAGGCTTTAAAAAATGCAGCTCCTGATGGGAAGCGATGCCGATATCTGACAGACACTCTCTCTGTGTGAGATGTCTCAGTGAATCACACATACCCCAAAAGTGCGTTCACTGTAACAACCTGAAGGCAAGAGCCTGGCGCGACTGGGACCTCTGCCTCAAGATGATCCTAATGGAGAAATTGCTGCAGGTGAGCCCAAAAATGGATCTCCCAAAACATGTTGCTAAGGGCTCTCTGACCAGGTTGGAACCAAGGAAGAGCACAGCTCTGTCCTCTAAAGAAAAGAGGAAGCAAGAGTCAACCTCTCCCCAGAGGAAACCACACAAAAAGAAATGGTCCCCTGTGAGGTCATTACCTTCAGTGCTGACTGCCTCTCAAGTCAGTGCCTATGACTCACTCAGCACCTCCAGCACAGGCTGTACCGTTGAGCCCAAAGCCATGGGTGGTGCATATTGTAGGCTGGGGGAGGCTATGCCTCCCCAAACAGCCCAGCGTGGCCCACCCACAATCCACCTGGAATGCCCCCTCCTGCTTGCCCTTCTCCCTTGGCCCAGGCAGGCTGGCTGCCCCTCTTCAGGCAAGCATGCTGGAGCTGGGACGAGGGCTAGGGTGGCTGCGGTTGGGCCTTGGGGTGGCTGGAGCTGCCCAGCAGTGGGGGGCCCCCGGGCGCTGGGGCCGCTACCCATTGCGAGGGGTGTGGGGGGCTGCCTGCTTCATGCTGGTGGGGGGCCACGCACCACCCACCCAGAGCTTGGGGGCGAGTGTGTGCGCATCCTCCCGAAGCCGGCAAGTCAGCCGCCACCCATGCCCAAAGCAGTAATGGAGTCGAGATATAGGCATAGCCATGCCTCCTACACGGCACTGACCACGTTGGTATGGGAAGTGGTTACGGCACCAAGCCTGCTGCCACCTCCAGCACTGACAATGACCTCGGCACCGATGCCTCCATTGGCCCTGACTGATATCGCCATGATGGGTCCACCGGCACTGACAAAGGCAAGCCACAAGACAGCTGCACACCATTCAGCTCCTACAAAATCCTTGGCACCGCCTCCATCGGTACCACAGCAATTCCTAATGCAGAGGGATATATAAATGTCTTTGGTGCCCCAATCACCACATTTTGGCACTGACGGATTTCCCCCAAGAAGCATCATTATGCAGCCCACTTCTCCCATGACACCATCAGTACCAAGCGACAGCGAGAATGAGGAACAGGATGAGGGGGTCTTCTCCCCACAACACTCCTCGCCTCCTCAACACAGACCACTTGGAGGAAAAGTCTGAGGGCCAAAAAATCATCATAAACAGCCCACGCACCCATGGTATGGACAACCATGGATGTGTCCTCCCATGGCGTTTCCCATGCAGTGGCCAACATGGGACCTGTGGGCAGCATATAGAGCCCACTATGCCAAAACCTCATCACCACCCAGAGGTGAACTTAGGTCTCCTTCACTGTCCCCAGTGGCTACAACATCCATAGTCCCAGAGGATATAACAGAGAAGCTCGAAGAATAAACAGGTCAGGAAAACGTGTCACCACCTCACAATTCTTCCTCTCCTCACAAGGCCATTATGCCACCTCCACCTACAATGGCAGACAATTTTAAACAGTTTCAAGAACTCTTTGAGAATTGCACTGAGCCAGGACACACTTTTGGAAGAAGTCCAAGAAAATCAGCATAAATTGCTCCAAATTTTGCAAACCTCATCGTCCTCAAAAATTGTACTACCAATAAACAACGCCATCCTGGAACCTGCTGAAACGGTGTGGCAGATGCCAGCCACCATTCCACCAACATGCAAAAGGGCCGATAGAAAATATTATGTGCTGGCCAAAGGCATGGATTTCCTCTTTTCTCATCCGTCACCAAACTCACTGGTTGTCGAGGTGGCAAACAATCAATCTAAACATTTTAAATCCATACCTCATGATAAGGACCACAAACGGCTGGATCTCCTAGGAAGGAAGGTATACACCTAGTCCACTTTGCAATGTAGGGTCACCTTCCTGGTGCAACACTCCGCACGCTGGGCATTTACACATCACTAGCTAAAAGAAAGCCTTACCAATCTTACCACCATTCTAAAGACACACGATGTAGTTGCCAGAATACCAGACCTTAAAACACCAACAGGCAGAGAAACCAACCACAAAGACACCAACCATCTTAACCCCAACCAGCCGTGTCACAACTGTCATCTACTAAGCAACAATTTTGAACTGTTGGTCAAGGGTCTGAATGACCTCCCACTCAAGACAGCGCCACTTTGCCCATTTGGCCATCGACTGAGACCTTTTTATCAAACATGGGAATTCATAACAAGGACCACTGGTCCTAGAGATCATATGATCAGGTTATGCCATCCACTTTATTTTTTGCCCACCTACCCTACCTCCTTCCCCATCCCTCTTCAGGGACCCTTCTCACAAGCACCTCTTAAGGCAGGACCTACATCATCTACTGCAACTAGGTACCATGGAACTAGTACCTATGCAATACAGAGGGAAGGGCTTTTATTCCCATTATTTCTGACCCAGAAGAAAAATGGAGGATGGCGACCCCTATTGGATCTACAAAAACTTAACAAGTTTGTCCGCTCCCAGAAATTCAAAATGGTCACATTAGGCACTGTGATCCCAGCGCTGGAACAGGGGGACTGGTTTTCAGCCCTTGACCTACAAGACACATATTTCCACATTACCATTCACCCAGCTCACAGGCGATTCCTCCGATTCACATTATTAGGACACGAGCACTACCAGTACATAGTGCTTCCATTCAGACTGTCCACTGCACCAAGGGTCTTCTCCAAAACCCTTGCGGTTGTCGCTGCACACCTGTGCAAGCAGGGAATCGTGTTTTTCCCGTATCTAGATGACTGCTTCCTGAAAGACCCCAATTGGATAGTGACGACAGAAATCGCCCAACCGACTACTGCCCTCTTCCAAACACTTGGCTGCAATTGAACATACAAAAGTCGACATTGATACCCACACAACAACTAGACTTCATTGGAGCACACCTCAATTCAGTTCAAGCCAGAGCATCTCTACCGCAAACCAGATTTCTGGCAATAAAAAAGCTCATAGAGACAGTTTTCATCAGTCCACGAATCACAGCAAAAACCTGTCTACAACTGTTAGGACACATGCAGCCACCACATTCATGGTAAAACGTGCGAGACTACACATGTGCTGCCTACAGGGTTGGCTGAGTTCCGTATACAAACCCATCAAACACAGTTTGAACAAGATCGTAACACCACCTCCCAGAGT